GACCTCCATTACATAAGGCTGCAGTCCAGTGCTACTCTTCGCTGGAGCATTAGCCAACAATGGTATTTGTACCTCTGGCCTGTATATTTACTACTCCTAAATCTACTTACCAGTTTTCTTGTCTTCAATGATCCAGTCTTCTCGGTCCTGTCCTGGTCCTCCTTGTGGCTCACATTGAATCTCCTCGTGCCTTGCCTGCCACCAGTTGCCAGCCTTCCCAGTCCTGCCTGACTCTTGGCCCTCTCACCCTCTGGAGCTCTCCTCTGGATTTGGAGTTGGACCCAAACTCATCCTCAAACCTGTAAGAGATAAACATCATCAGAATCAATATTGCCTGTTCCATCCTACTGACCTCCTCTGACCATCTCCTTCCTTCCCCCAGGAGCTCCAGAGAAACAACTGTGTATATATTCACCACTGTAAATAATAAACATTGTCACTTTTGCACTTACCTACTAACATTTAATATATTTTTATACTAGTTGGATTTTAAAGTTTTACTCTCCTCTTTTATGTCCTACTTTGCTTTGAATATGATTGTGGAGCCTGGAGCACTCATCCATCCATCCATTATCTTTACCCGCTTATTCCATTTTGAGTCACGGGGGTCGCTGGTGCCCATGTCCAGCAATCACTGTGCGAGGGGCGGGGGACACCCTGGACGGGTCGCAAGTCCATCACAGGGCCACATAGAGACAAACGAGACAAACAACCATTCACTCTCACTCACACCTAGGGACAATTTAGAGTTACCAATCAGCCTAACGTGCATGTTTTTGGTCTGTGGGAGGAAACCGGAGTACCCGGAGAAAACCCACGCATGCACGGAGAGAACATGCAAACTCCACCCAGAAAGGCCCCTGGACCGGGGTTTGAACCAGGGACCTGCTCGCTGAGAGGCAGCAGCTCTACCAGTTGCGCCACCGTGCTGCCCAGCCTGGAGCACTATTATTTGTAAATGGTTTATTTGAGGTGTTCTTACTTTTAACATTGTGTGTACGCATGGATGTATGCTTATGCTCTGTACCACTGCACACCAAATCTACCCTTGTGTATAAATAAAGTAACCTAACCTGAGTCATAACAGAAATGAAGCTGATTTGACAGTTGCTCCAAGCGAGCAGAACGAAGGTGGCAGGCTATGGCAAGCCGATTGTGTCATTAATAACCACGTGTTCCTATTACATGATACAATGGCATGCCATACTGCTTGAGTGCCATCTAGCGGCTGAAAATGGTAGTTTTCAAAATATTTCAGTCAAAATGAATGAACATGGTCATATCTCAGACAAAAAATGGTTTATAAATATGGGGAAAAAATCCATAAATATGTTGCTTCAACCTATATGTCACAGGGCATTAAATTATGCACATAAAAAAAAAGGCCATGTATAGGGCGAAAAATGCAGTAATACTGTTTGTTCTGTTTTTCTTCTTTCCCCCTCTTTATTATAGTTTACTATTTTCCTTGTAAGCTCCCCTTGTTCTGATGTATATAGTTCATGTCTGTACTATTTTAGGTTATTGAGATACTATGATACATCTTGGGAATATTTGTAAGGGAAATGAAAATGAAGAATGTTCTATCAGTTTGTACGGTAGTTCCACATTAAATATGTGTATTTGTAAAATGTAAAAATGACCACAACTGATAAAGACTGGAAAATGGGAAGATGCTGATAAATATTTAATTTCATGTATAGCAGTAAAATAAAAATAAAAAGTTGTGCGCACTCCTGAGCATATGAGAACAGAGCAGTTTATTGTTGGCGGACAGCAGGAATGAGCACAGAGACGGCTGTACAGAGTTCGACAGCAGCATGGCACAGACAATACTAAATATTAACAAAAAATATTAAAATACATTCAAACTATTAGGAACAACCTGAAATTAGTTTACTGGAACAGTGTGAGACTGAGAGAAATGTTAAAAACAATCTAAAACTGATTACAATAAATTATGCCCAAAAACATATAAATTCATGTTCCACATTAAATGTAAATACATGTGATCGCTGCAGATAGTCAATTTAAAAAAAGGATATATGTGAGAAAAAACACAAACTAAACACACTATCAAATAATGTAAAAATGTGACAAAATATTCACTGAACAGAGACAAACGATTTAAAAATAATAACCGATCCTTCACATCTTAAGAGTTCTTCACAGAATAACATCACAAGATCTGTGATCAACAACAGAATAATAAATAAGAACTGTTAGCACAGTTAGTTTAATGAAGCTCCTACAGAAGAGACGGGAAGCGTGAAGAAGAGCTAACTTTGATCCACGTTCGACCCGAGCAGCAGAAAAGTACTGACGCAGCTCCGCACATGAAACGCATCCAAACATGGACTAACAGAACATCTGTCAGAGCTTAATAACCAACAAATAAAACCAGAAGATAAAAACTTGTGAACTCTTCATACATTTTGGTCCAGTGTTTATTGTAAACATCTGTGAAATTTTGCTGTGATTTTCTAAAACCAGCCATCATGAACTTTAATGAAAAACTCAAGTTGGACTTCCTTCTTTGAAAAAAAGACTGGAGTGTTTTCATGATAGTTGATAAAAAGTGTCTTCAGTCCTCAGATACTAATGTTTAAGATCCTTTCACAGCACAAACGTATAAGTCAGAGTTCAATATCGTGTTGTCTTTAAAAACCTCTGGTCCTGATTCTTTCAGTTGGAGAATCAGCCTTTACACTTCTATTAGTTTCTTTACAACACACTTTTAGTTTGCCAGAGTAAAACTAACCGTGGCAGTGTCAACTCTGCACAAACAGCTAAAACAATGTCTTTAATCTAAAGCTGTTAGCAGCATGTTAGCACTAGTTTGGCTAATTAGCATTCAAATACCAAATTTAACATATTTTATCCTCCTTGAAAACAAACATCTCTGAAGCAGTTAGCTAAAAAGCTAAAACAATGTATTATCTGTAAAGGTAGCATCTTACTGGGCTGCAACCGTTGGAGACTAGTTAGCAACTCAAATTTGCGAGTAAACAAGCTAATTTTTGGTGCAGTCTTACTGAACTCTGTTTGTCACAAAGCAACCAGCGAGCCAAGTGGTTATGCTGTGGCTGAGTGGTTAGAGCAGTCGTCCTCCAATGTGAGAGTTGAGGGTTCAATTCCACCAGCAGTCACATGCCGAAGTGTCCCTGGGCAAGACAATGAACCCCTCATTGCCTCCAATGTGTGTCCCATTGGTGTATGAATGTGATAAAGCTCTGATTAATCTTTGTATAGTAGAGTGCTGTATGAATGGGTAATGAGGGCACAGATTGTGTTGTAAAGAGATTTGAGTATTTTGATAAGGCAGAAAAGTTCTATTTTTCAACAAAGCGACAGGGTCCTGGAGAGCCCTCATGTCCCGCTGAGACTCATGCTGCAAGATAGGTCATGGATCCGTGGGGAGTGTGGGAGCTGATGTGTCTTTCCGTTCTGTCTCAGGAGGACACTGAAGATGTTTATATAATTGGAATCATGATAGCAGGGTTTCTGCTTTTTAGCATCGGCGGGTTCCTATGCTGTCGGCTTTTAAGGAAGACATTGGCAGCAGTTTCGGCCATGACAAAACTGCCAAGTTGGTGTGAAGGTTTGGTTCGTGCTTTGGGGACTCAAAATCAGCTGATTTATGAGCTAAACCGTAAGAAGGAAGCGATTTGTGAGAATCGCAAGCCACCTGCATCTCCTAGGACTCGCCAGCATGTTGGAGATGACCTTGAAGGAGGCTCATAGCACCAAGCAGTGGAATGCCCACAAATTTGGCCTTTTTGGATCGAAAGTACCAGCAAGACTCAAGGCTGACAAGAAAAAAAATCAGTCTGCCTGAAGAAATCAACAATTGTGGATTATTTGAAGCTGACTCCCCCGTTTGGTCGCGAAAGCAGGCCGACTATCAAATTTCTCCTGGGACATGGGTAAACTAAGGAAAAGCTTTGTCTATCGCAAACACCCCCCACCCTCCTGAGAAATTCTGTGCAGGCTTATCAGAACTGCCGGCTCACCAACATCGTATCAGGACTATGGGCTATCTGGAAGTGCTTCATGGACAAATCTCACTATCTTGTTGTCAAATACATATGTAATGTGTCTATAAATGTGCTTGCTGGTAGAGTTTTTTGATGTCTTAAATCGTGTCCTGATAGGACAAGGTGTGAAGAGATCGTTTTTGTAATACCACTATCCATCCTCATGGCCTTTTCCCTTGTTCTATCTACCTAAAAAGTATTCTGATAAAGAACAAGAGGCCGTAGCAGCAGCAACGTGCACTCCGCCCGTCTTTCGGACTGTACGAACATAATCTCACTGTATCTTGGTACAATGATAATAAAGCTTATTCTGGTTCTGATAAGTACAGTACATTTAAAATGTATGTTTTGTCTGGCCAAATTCTGAAAACCAAAGGCTATCTTGTGTGCATATCTTTCAAAAATATATTCAGGACCATCACGTTCGTATTACACTCACGTCGGCCGCTTTGTACCCACCTCAGAAGGTGCCTCCATATTTATTTCATCTACTGAGGTAGACTTTAGAAATGAAGACAGGCAGGTTTGGAGCAGTTTTTAAATTAAATATTTATTATCCGTGTGGTTTTAAGAGCTGGACATTCAGGGCTGTAGCGCTCCTGTAGGGGTGTCAAAATGCAGCTCAAGGATTAAAAATACTTAATTTTGAAAGGTTTTGCGACATTTTAAACAACTTTGTGCCTATTTGGAGACAACTTCTTTATGACAGTTATGACATGTATTTTTTATCTTCAAAATTCAAGGAAGAACCCTCTGCGACCCCACATTTCAGAGCCCGCTTGAAGGTTTTGAGCTATTGACCGCCACCTAGTTGCCAACAGTCACTGTCCAATACGATACGACCCTAAAAAAACTGAATAAAGTTTCAGACGATAAGACACATTTCTGTTAGAGGAAACTTTGTCCCATGGTTTCAAAGTCTTAGATGTTTGGAAAACCATGTAAATAATCTAATCTTCTGTTGACCTATAAATAAATGGGCCTTCCTACGTGAGAGCACAAAGGGAATGAATTCAGATGGTCCAACGTTCAAAGTGTTTTACCACGACGATGAGCCAATCTGTCGCTGAGGCCAAATACTCAACTTTCCCTGTGCGGAGTTAATGTTTGACATCTGTCTTCTAATGGTCAGCAAACAGCCGCCTGCACACAGGGACTCTGGAAAAATACAAGCCTGGAACCACGAAACTCCATATCTGAGATATCATTTCTATTTCTGACTCACTGATGGAGCTTACCCTTTAATTAAAAATATTAGACTTGCTGGCTGTTTTTCTTTAGAGTTACTGATGGTCAGATTAGTTTTTAACTATCTAAGGATAAAACTTAGTAGACGCTGTACAAAAAATTAACACTGAAGGCAGTAAGTGTGTCATTCCAAAACACAGTTTCAAATGAATGGGAATGTTACGAATGTTTCCATCACCGTCATCACTAAACTCTTACGATAACTCCAGTTTAATTAAACAAAAACATTAAAATGAATGATTCCTAAACGTGTTCAAACCAGACTGAAGACTCTAGCTGCAGCCTGTTTCTGTCCTCACAGTTAAAACCATCAGTGATTTTTGAGGTTTGTTTATTGTTTGTGTTGTTTTGAAGGACACCGGGTCAGACTGGTGCCCTGTCAGCAGCAGCATCGCCCGTGTCAAAGGTTAAATGGCTTCACAGGACAGACTCGATGGCTTCAGGCACGGCCCCCGGGACTTTGATTTTATGCATGACAAGCGGCGATGTCTCCTCATCTGCCTGAACGTTGGCCACAGATTCTACCCGCACCTCCTCCAGTGCCTCCTGCTGTTGTTGGTGCTTCACCTCCTGCTGGTTGATGTGGTGGAGGATTCCTGCGCCCAGAGCGTCGCCCTCCACGTTCACCACGGTGGTGGTTCGATCCCTGAGAGCAAACAGAAAACACGTTGAGTTTCAGACAACACCTTCTAACTGTTCTTATTTAGTGAGATGATTGGATGATAAAGATACATAAAAGACAGTAAAGGCCCAGCACTCCTTGAAGGAAAGCACGCTTTTGTGCCAAAACTTTAAACTAAGATCGTTTTTTTCTTTATGATAATCATGAACAATCATAGAGTTATTGCTGTTTTACTCAAACAGCATGCACAATATGTGTTAGGGATGACTCTCAGTTACTATGAAACCAAGCTGTGGCTCAGTAGTTGGAACAATGACTGTTATCGCCTGCTTTGTTTTCTAAGATTCATTATTTGTGGCAGCCATCTTGAATTGGGTCAACTATAAAAGTTAATTGTACATCCAGTGATGACTAGGCTGGTCACGATAATAAATTTTACTGGGCGATTAATTGTCTCAGAAATTATTGCGATAAACGATAATAGTGTTTGAAATTTTACAATAATTAGTAATTATTGTCAAATTCAAGAAGACGTTGGTTAATTTATTTTGAGTGTAGTACTTTTTTGACCACTGGATGGCAGTATAAGACTATTTGAACTGAAGGATGGATAGTGAGGGAGCGAGCAGCGTGTATCTTTAAGAAAAATGGGAGGGAGGCCCCTTGACGTGACATGGGCTGTCTCTCCTTCCTGTTTTTCGGTTCTCAAAATGGCGGACGCTCGGTGTGGTTTGAGCTCTTTAGCATAGCATTTGTCACACAAAGCTTTTAATAAAAAATCATTAAACAAGTTCTCAGCTTCTTTTGCAAAGAAAAACAACTTTTACATGAAGGCACGAGTTTCAACCGTGAATTTTGGAGCTTTGACAAGACTGAGATTTTTTCCCCGAGGTCGGCCTGTTAGCTTAGCTTCTCAGCTTAGCTGCTTTTAACGATCCAAAAACGTGGTTTTGGATCGTTAAAACAGATTTTAAAGAGAAAAGAGAAAGGAAGGGGTCAGTGAAGAGCACCGGAGTTGAGCCTTTTATCATCCAGTGTCTTCAGTAGAAAGAGAGAGACACGAAGAAATGATGAAGCCGATAAATGAAAATGAGGTAAATAATTTTCATTTATCATGCGATTAATTGATTTATTGTTTATCGCGACAGGCCTAATGATGACTTACTGAGAGTTTCAATAAAATCCATCTACTATTTTGCTAACAGACCAACAGGGCTGTCTCCCACAGTTTAAGGTCTAAACAAAATGCAGTGCTTGGAGTATATACTAGGAATGTAAGCCAGCTACCACCACACTGAGTTTTATCTCAGCATCGGTAAAACTGACTGAGTTATAGACATTTTTCTGTTTTCTAAAACCAATGAACTGTGTCGGACATCTTGAATTGGGTTGACTCCATAAGTTATTCAGTTATAAATGTTCTTCCAATGATTACGTATGGAGAAATTCATTTTAATGCATCCAACTGTTAATGAGATATTTTTCTAACAGACAAACACAGGACTGCCAGCTGCCTCCATGATGGAGTCAGAACAACAGCTCCCACTCATCTTTGGGATTTAAGAAAATTGTTTTCGTCCCAGAAAGCTGAGCTCGTGAAACATGTTGGCCCTGCTGCTGTTGGTGGATCTGCTCACCACTGTGCTGCTCAGACTGCGCTCTTGTTACAGGTGAAAGTTTAAACATTGACACTTTTTACAGGGCGCTGCTTCACTTCATGCCTAGCAGTTGGCATTTTATAAACACTATGCACAAAATGATCTCTGCATGCATGAACCTACATGTTTTTATGAACTACACCAGCTTCATGTGACCTCCTCCACACAGTTAAGCTCATAAAATATTCACAAATATAAAATATGAAAAAATGACTTTGCTATATGCTTACATACCATAACCATAATGTGCTGTTTTATGGTAACTAATCTTTCAGCTTTTCCCTCTTCAGGGGTCTCCACAGGGAGTCCTCCTCCATCTCACTCTGTCCTCACTCCAACTACCTTCATGTCCTCTCTAACTGCATCCATATATCTCCTCTTTGTCTTTTTCTTGGCAGCTGCATTTCTAACATCCTTCTACCAGTATACGCACTGTCCCTCTTCTGGACATGTCCAAACCATCTCAGTCTGGTCTCTCTAACTTTATCTCCCAGTTGTTCAATCTGTGCTGCACCTCTGATGATCTCATTCCTAATCTTATCCATCCTTGTCACTCCTAAGTAGAACCTCAACATCTTAATTTCTGCCACTTCCAGTTCTGTCTCCTGTCTTTTTGTCCATGTCTCTGTCTCCAGACCATACAACATAGCTGGTCTCACCAATGTCTTGTAAACTTTTCCTTTGACCTTTGCTGACACCGTTTGTTTATTTATTTTACCTTTTTTCATGTAATCATCAATACATGAAAGTGAGAATGCTCTGCAGAAAATGTTTTTAAAAAATACTTATTTTTCCAGGAAATTTCTAAAACAATAATTTCCATCAACTTTTAAAGTTCTCAGCTGAGCAATGTGAAGATGTTCACTGGCTTTTAATATGCAGAACATCTGGAAGTGAAAACACAAAATCAATGTTTTTTAAATTTGCTCAGAAAGTTGAAATGAAGTCCCTGATCAGAGGACGTGTGCACAACATCAGTGGTTTTTCTTTTACAAAATAAAATACGTGAATCTACTGTATCCTCAAGATTGTACGTGCACAGGCTGTTGACCGTCTTCCATGAGCTGCTCCTTCACTTTATTTATCCACAGGTCTCCTGTGTGGCACCGAGAGCTTCATGCAGACAGCACAGATGATGGAGGTTTAATGAACATAACGATAAATAAATAGAACAACTAGCTTCTCCAGCTGGAAAATGTTTGATGTGGCTGGTTTGCAGATCCAAAGGTGCTTTCAGAGAATCCTCCATGTGGTTGACCAAACCCCAGGAGCAGTCACAAAGCACCAGCCTCACTGTTCCACCTGCCTCCCTCTATTTCACACATCTACTCCGTCTTACTACGGTTGGCATGGTTACCAAAGCTGCCAAAATACAATTTATCAGAGGGACAGATGGACCTAAAGCCATCTTTACTCACACAATCCAGTCGACAGCCAGCATGAGGGACAGGTCGTTGGTCGGTAAGCCAATGGCCTCCAGGATGATGGCGATGGTGATGATGCCGCCAGCTGGGATTCCTGCGGCACCGACACTGGAGGCTGTGGCTGTTACCCTGGAAACAATCACACCATCTCAAATAAACTTTCATTTCTTTGGAGAGAACAGATGTTGGGACAGGTAAACAGGTGGAACTCACAAGATGGTGAAGATCTGTCCTGCGTTCAGCTCCGTGTTGTTGAGTTGAGCAATAAAGACGGCAGCGATGCACTGGAAAATGGCCGCTCCGTCCATGTTAACCGTGGCCCCGATGGGGAGGATGAAACGACTGATGCGTTTGTCCACACCATTGTTTTCCTCTACACATTTTATCATGGAGGGAAGAGTTGCTGAACTGGCAAAAGACAATCCAGAGTGACGTTAATGTTGATCTAATGAGTGTGAGGTGAAGCTAAAGACACTGACGCTCTCACCTGGAGCAGGTGGCGAAGGCAGTGGTGAAGGGTGTGATGAGGCCCGACAGGAAACTGAAGGGGTTTTTACGAGTTAATCCAAAGTAGATGAGAGGCAGGACGATGCCTCCGTGGATTATGTGGCCCAGGATGGAAGCAAATATGTATTTCCCCAGACTGGTGACAAGAAGAACGACATCGTCCATTTCCACAATCTTACTGCCCACAAGAAACACGATACCAAACGGGATGTACCTGGAAGATACGAGAGGTCTGGAATTAGCATAAATGATAAAACATTTGAAGAAAAGCTGCTGGAGCAGAAGATAAGAACTGAAACAGGAGGTTGGTAAAGATTTCCATTGTCTGCTTCATACTCACTGTCATTAGACTGATACACTATCTCTGCAGGTGTCAGAATGAATCACTTCTTCTTACCACATGATCCAGGACACCAGCACCATGGTGGCCTCGTTAAAAGCGTTGAAGAAACGAATGAGTTCCTCTCCCTCCTCTCCCAGTTTGCGCAGGGCCACTCCAAACACCATGGCAAACAGAACCAGGCCAAGAATATTCATGCCATCAGTTTCTGTTCCAACGGGGACCTGAAACACACGGCAGAGTCGTGCTAAGAGAACGTGAACACACTGAGGAGAAAGGTTTCCAGCAGAAGCTTGGACCAGTCAGTCCTGGAAATAAAGTCTGCTTTGGTCAGACAGAGTCTCTGTTTCAGCGTTGGCACCATCTTACTTTATAAATAAATATGAACATACTAATGTTCAAAATGTAATTTAAACTAATGTAAAAAATCCAACAAAGTTTAGTCAGGTCATCTGGATGGATTCTTTTTTTTGGTTGATACGTTTCATCCTTCATCCAAAGGACTTCATCAGCATCAGTCCGAGGAGCCACAAACAAACTGTGTCCCACAAGCAGCACACTCGCATAGTGGACCAACCAGTTTGCTGGTGATAAAATGGTTTCTGGGGCCCTCCGCCCGTCAACTCCTCTCAGGCAGCCATAGCCAAAGTGGTTCAAAACATCAAAGTTCATGCTCAATAATCCAGGTTAAATAAAACAACAAAGTTCAGTAAGGTAATCTGGACAGTTTATTTATTTATTCTTTTTTAAGTTAAAAATAAATTATAAATATGAATTGGTTTGGTATTTTGACATTTGTGTGTCTAAGCGTTGTGTTGTGTATCCAGAATCGGTGTTGGCCTCAGTGAACCCTGGTCTCACACCTTTATTTGCGTTCTGGCATCTGGCTAGCTTGCTGTGCTAGCATTTGATATCAAGCTAGAAATGTCAAAAGATTTGAAGGCGACTAACTGTTTTTTATGTTTTAATGTCAAAGTAAAAGTTATAATATAAAGTCCAACTTACAGTGTTTGTCTCATTTCATAGTGGAGAAAAAAAAATGACAGCCTTCTGCTTAACTTCTGGACATTAGCAGTGAAGGTATTATAATAATTGTCAGGATAAGCCACATATGAGCACCAGATGTTTCTGCCACTCGTGGTTCAAGAATATTTTTTGATTCAATTTACAGGTGTCACAGGTTTCAGGCTCAGTTTCCAGTTTGCTCTTGCGGCTGTTTGATGAAGAGTGGTGCTGTGTGCTCCCTTTCCCCCTCTGCTCTCCAGAAAAGGTGGGAATCACCATGGTAACTAATCACTTAGTAGATTCTGAGTCACTGGAGCTCATATTATTCAGCAGGTTCTTCCTTTTTAAATACTTTGATCATTGTAAGTTTCCTAAATCCTGTAGAGATTAAACAACTTTGTTGTGACTACAAGTTGAAAGTGAGGACGATTCAGTATGAGCCTCTGCAGAGTCTGGTATTCTGGGACATTTTTCTTCTTGTTGTTTCAGGCATGAAAACTTTGTGTCACTCATCGCCATACAAACACTAGATTTAGGCAACAATTAGCAACAGTGACAGACAAACTGGAAGAATTGTAAAAATTTAGAAATTGTCGGGGCATCAGTCTGTCTTCTACTGAGTTAGTTTATCCAGACCAACAAAAAAGACTTCAGTGGCTTGAGAGATCGTTTAAAAACTTCTAGAGCAAAAATCAGACCACAGCACTGTCAAATGGAGAGAACACTTGAAATAGGACAACGATATTTATACAGTCCAATACTTACTATCTGGAACTAATCTTATACTAGCCAGATACTGTATATACCTGGTACTTACTAGTATCTTTATGTGTACATATGGTACTTAGCACTTACTGTCTATAAATCAGATATATACGTGGTCCTTACTGGGGACCTACCTGGTACACATTTGGTACCTTTTACATAACATGTGTACCAAGTATTCACGAATGTGGACTAGGTAAGTCCCAGTAAGTACCAGACTGTATTATGCACAGCTAGCTAAAATTGTTAATGGATTGGCCTGTCACGAAAACAAATTTTGCAGTGCGATTAATTGTCTCAGAAATTATTGTGATAAACGATAATGTTGTTAGAAATTTAACAATAATTAATTGTCAAATTTTAGAAGAAGTTTTGATTTTTTTCAAGTGTAATATCTTCTTTGACCACCTGATGGCAGTATAAGATTGTTTCAACCAAAGGATGGAGAGTTGAGCAGGTGTCTCTTTAAGAAAAATGTGAGGGAGGGCCCTTGACGTGACATGGGCCGACATGGTGACATGGTGAAATGGCGGACGCTCGGTGATTTGAGCATCAAAAGTTCTCAGCTTCTTTTTGCAGAGAAAAACAACTTTTTACCCAAAGGCACGGGTTTCAACCATGAATTTTGGAGCTTCGACAAGACTAAGGTTTTTTCCGGGGTCAGCCTGTTAGCTTAGCTCGTAGCTTAGCTTCTCAGTTTAGCAGCTTTTAACCATCCAAAAACGCAATTTTGGATGGTTAAAGCAGATTTTAAAGAGAAAAGAGAAAGGGAGGGGTCAGTGAAGAGCACCGGAGTTGAACCTTTTGTCATCCAGTGTCTTCAGTAGAAAGAGAGACACGAAAAAACGATAAAGCCGATAAATGAAAATGAGGTACAGTAGGTAATTTTCATTTATCATGCGATTAATTGATTTATTATTTATCGCGACACATTAATGGTACCAGTGCTTGTAGTAAAACTGGTCCAACAAATGAAGCTTATGTTTATTTAAAACTTAGTTTGCACCAGTAGAGTTTAAGAAAACATTCATATAAAAGTACTTTTTTTTCACTGAAGTACAGCTCAGTCCCACGGTCTCATTCAGAGCCATCATCCTGCTCAGTGGACCAGAAATACCAACATTTCACCATCAGCCTTGAACCCATTCCCTCTGAATCAGGTCAGTCCTGCACATAGTGCTTATTTAGTAAGTTTACACCCATGGCTGACTGTTGTATGCACAGAGCTCAGAGTAAACAGCAGTTTAACCCTGTTTTTACCACACACTGTCTGTGACTGCACACCTGACATGTCCTGCACTCACCTTCTGATAGAGGGCTGTCCCGTTGGTGTCGTTCCCCACAGCAACCATCTTGTAGTCAGTGGCATACTGCAACATACACACAAGACAGAGGATTAATGCAAAGAGTTAACGTTGGTTAGTTGGTGTGTGCTCCTTCCACGTACAGTTTAAACTGGAAACAAAACCATCATCCGCAACATTTAAATGTTGTTTTCTTTGCTGTTTGTGGTTAAAAACTTCTCGCTGCCTAAGCCTCTAAATTCTCATTTTCACATGTTCTAGGAGAGCAGCTAAAGAACAGTGCACATCCTTCCTCTCAGAGTGTGCACTGTTGGAGACTTGTGGGCCAGTTGGACTCTGTCTATGAAACTCTGGTCTTTTCAGAAACCAGCAGCACCATAAAACAAACGTCTGAAGAGCGTTTGTGGAAAATCTCCTGACGTCCACACACACACACACGTCCACCATGACGAGCGAAGAGTCAGTCATGGTCTGAAGCTCCCAGCTCGTGAAGCTGCTGCTGTTTTAAAGCTCTCCTCTGCTGTTCTTGCTTTAATCCTCCTTTGGACTCATTCCACAGTGGCTCTGGTGCAGTGTGTGTGCGTGCGTATGTGTGTGTGTTGAACTCTGTGAACTGTGAATGTCCAGGAGTCTCTGTGGGAGAACTAAACGACCTGTTTGTGGGTTTAGGACCCGCGGCTCATTGGGTGACTTGAATTTAAAGTTTTGTTTGCATGTGTGTCTGATAACTTTAACGTGTGATTACAAGCATTTCATCTAGTGTGTGTGTTTGTTTTAGTTTCAGGGTATACTGTGGGGACCAAAGCCGGGTCCCCATAAGGAGAAGTCTTGTTGTGGGGTTAGGGTTTGGCATGTACTGGTAATGGTTAGATTTATGGTCAGGCTCAGAGTTAGGCAATAGAAAATGAATGGAAGTCAATGCAAAGTCTCCACAAAGTACATTTACAAGAGCGTGTGTGTGTGTGTGTGTGTCCAATCATGCTTGAACACCTCCACATATTGAATCATCCTGGTCCTGGTTTTTAACTCTTACAGACAGCAAACAGAGTTCCAGGAAGTGGAGCGTTCAGAAGTGGCGAGGCGAGATGGGTTGCTAGGATAGTTGGAGAGGAATGGTTCTGCCATGGAAACGGCCGGTCGGGGACAAGGAACAAGGAACAAGGAGCAGGAGTGAGCAGCGAGGCCCTCGGTGTTACAGCCGCCTTGTGACGGCCACCGGAGACAAATGTGGCGCAATAAATTCTGATGAACCAACAAGTAACAGCAGCAAAGAGTAAAAGAAAAGAGTGAAGTGTGTGGAGATGACACTCACGGAGCGGAAGGCTGCTGCCACCAGGTTTGCTGGAAATAAATTTCTGAAAAAGGGAAAGAAAAACACCCATCAAGAAAACATCACAGACATTTAATCACCTTTTGTTGTAGGAAACACTGAAACTGCATCTACAGAACGGAGCCAGAAGAATTAATCAAATGTTCCTTGTGGCTCTGTTGCTACAGTCAGGACCTTTTTTTGACCCTTTGGACCTGCTGACAGAACAGACCCTCTCACACAAAGCCTCTCTTTGCTTTATCTTTTAGCCAGAATTGACACAGATTTAGAGTTTCTGTAGCAATAAAGACGATAACTCTGAGTTTCAGCTGAGATCGGTGCTGCTCCGTCAGCCTCAGCAGACCTCCTTCCTTTCTACAGATTGTTATAACGCAGCCTGAAGCTTTAATCATTGGGGACCGTCTAGTAAGGCAGCACCTGTTATTATCCACCTGACAAGGGTTTCTTAACTTTATATCTTACTCTTCCATCAACTTTACTGCAGCCTGAACCGCAATGTGTACCCCCACAAATGTTATATCAAAACGACCGGCTTGGCACCGTGATGTGAGCTATTACTTTTATTGGTGTTTCGAGTTACCATGGTGACGTAATTTGCAAACAAATAAGCCATTTTTATCATTGAAAATGCCTGATGGACCTCAAAAGCTTCTAACTGCTATAACTCGGTCATTCTTTGATACACAATAGTCCCTCACTACTTTGCGGTTCGTTTTTCACGGACTCGCTCTATCGCGGTGTTTCAAAGTAAGATTGTACATGACACACAGTTGGCTGATTGATGGATGAGCCGCACTATCTGCATGGACTTTTTATTTAAAATAAATTATATTCAATTATTTAGCACCTGTGTGCAGCCCACAGCTGCAGGGGAAGCTTCCTCTTGCAGCGTGTGGAGAACTCTGCTCTGCAGCAGAGAAGTGGGCGTGGCTGAGAGAGCGCTGGCAGAGGAGACAGAGCTAAAATCATGACATGCTGTGCTCTTTTAGAGTGTTTAGAGTTTAGAAACATTGTTTAGAATATTGTAAGAGTGTGGGAAGGGTTTAGAATATATATATAATAAAATAAACTACTACTTACTACGTGTATTACTATTCCCACTTGGCGGTTTTTAACTTATCGCAGTTCTTCAGGGTACTGATCCCCCGCGATAAACGAGGAACTACTGTATCCTGATACATGCTCAATAATCCAGGTAGAAAAATCCAAAAAAGTTCAATCTGGTCCTCTGGATATTCAAAAAACAAAAAAACAAAACAAAGCAAAAAAAAATGTAGAAACGTTTCGTCTCTCATCCGAGAGACTTCCTCAGTCTGAGGTGCTGTATTCAGCTCAGGAGGAACTACTGAGCTTACTACTGAGCTGAAATTTGCTCTGGTTGTAGCTGAGAGTGAGTTTACAAACATTCCTAATGCAAATCAAAAATCCAAGATGGCCACCTGAGCTAAAAAATAAAAATACTATAAATCAGCTAATGTTAGCGATATTGAGCTAAAGCTTTGCTTTGTGTGGTGATAGCTGAGGACGTTTCCCATCACATACTGAATCCCAATAAAAAATCCAAGATGGCCACCAGAGCCTAATAGAAAAGAATGACTATAACTCATTGATTTATTTATTTTTTGCCATATTGAGCTGATAATAGGTTTAGTGGAAGCTGAGAGCGAACCCGAACACATCAAAGGAACAGTTGAACTCGGCAGCAGCCTGCAGTCCATGTCAAAGTTTCTGCAGGAACTTTCTAGTTGAAACAAGTGTTTTCTTCTAAACGAGCTTCTCTTGATACTCCATGATGACAAAGTGAAAACACAATATGAAACAAGTTTAGTTGTAAAAAAGGAAACGAAAACATCACCATTGAAAGCTTTATTTAGTTGCAGCTCATCTGGCAGCTCTTAAAGCCTCGTGTCTTTTTTCAGCTGTGCACACCTGGACTGAAGAATCCTGATCCTTTTTCTTTTTAGGTGAATCCACAGAAGCTCAGCGTGGCTGGACGGGGACTCTTGGTTGAGCCTTTTTCAGGTCTCAAGTCTTTTGATGAGGTTCAAGTCTGTCTGAGGTTCTGTCTAGTCCGACCTGCACAGAGTAGTCCCTAAACGCCTCTTGTGTGTTGCATTCACTGTGTGCTTTGGCTCGTCATCATGACCCTGACCCCTCAGTCTGTGCTGCTGAAAACACTCTCCCAGCATGATGCTGCCACCACCATGCTTCACTGAGGAGACGGTGTCTGAACGTCTTCCACGTGTCCGGGAACCTTCTGTGCAGCAGTACTTTATAGCTTCCTCAGCTCGGAGCAACAATTCTGTCTTTGAGCTCTGCGGACACTTCCTGTGACCTCATGGTTTGGTTTGTGCTCTGAGTGTCAACGTGGAGGTCTTGAGCATCTTTTCAAATCATGCATCCATCATCTTTACCTAAGCCTGCCTGTCACGATAAACAATAAATCAATTAATCGCATGATAAATGAAAATTATCAACCTCATTTTCATTTATCCGCTTCATCGTTTCTTCGTGTCTCTCCCAATCAATTTATTGAAAGTAGGAATTAAAAGAAGATGAAAAAACATCTCAGCAGTGATCAAGAGAATTGATGTACAAATACTGGTGCAAAAAGTCTAAATATTTATGAAAATGTGATATTTTTGTTGTTTGTTTGTTTGTTTTACAAATTACTCGAATTGAATAATTTTTTGTTTTCACTTTGTCATTTCGGGTTTTGAATATAACTTCGCTTCATAACGACAGTGCTGAACATGAAGGGAGTGTGAAAACTGTCCTGCACCGCAGCGCGACTCATTTCCATCTAATAAACTAAGATATGTGCAAGAAATGCAACAAATACCACTCGAGAGATGAGTTTAAACTTAACATTAATCTGCCTTTTAAAAACGTTCTTTCAACTTTACCTTCAGATGATCCCTCAGATGTTTGAGCTCATCTGAAAATTACAGTCATTTTCATATATTCACATTTTATGTACAATTTTACAGTAAATAAAACAGAATTTTACTTTGTACTTTATCAAGTCTGCATTTAGGCCGGCCGAGTCTATTATCGTTACAGTAAGATAAGCAGACTGGTTTTACTGGAAGCCCGCAGGCTTTTTCCATTAGTTTAGTAACTTTATCTTGTGGGATCCCACCATGTTGTGCAAAGAAATGATCCCACTATTTTAGATCCACAGTCCAATGGGCATAATGATGACCCCAGTGAACTTTGACCTCAGTCCTCGGCTACATGTTGTTTCAGCTATAGTCACTGGGACCAAAAAAGTCTACCTTCTTTTGTCCCAGTTTGTAGTTGAGGTTAGACTCAGGAAAGTAGACCAACATGAGGAGCTGACTGGATGGCAAGAGAAATTTAAACTAAAACACTCATGGAGACATGGAGAAAAACTAGGCAAGACATGAAGACTGCAGGTTTACTTGTGGTTCCTAGAGCTTCCAACAGCAGAATGGAAGTTTCAGTCATCAGGCTCCTCTCTTGTAAAACCAACTTCCAGTTTCTGTCCGAGAGGCTGACACATTGTCCAGTTTTAAGACTGTTAAAAGGGAGTTTTTCCTTTCCACTGTCTCCTTTGTGCTTGCTCAGGATGGGAGACTGTGAGAAGTGAAGATTCAACACAGTCTGTTGCTTCCTCCCTTAGAGAACTTTTACTTTTAGAATGTGTGAATGTTTCTGTTCAGTGCCCTGAGACGACTTCTGTTATGACTCGGAGCTACAGAAATAAACTGAACTGCGTTGAATGAAGCACAATGCCAGACTGCAGGTAAGTGAGGGTTGAGCAAATAAATTGACTGGGGCTGCTGAGACAAGTGGCAACAAGCAACAGGTGTAGGTGGGCGGGGCAGAGCGAGTGCTGGTGTAGGTGGGCGGGG